AAAAACCCCCCCCCCCCCCCGATCCTATGCCCCTGTATTATTTTACTCTTTCTAATGCCATACGATTTTACTTCGTCAAGGGGAGAGTGCTGGCACTCAATGGGAATATGTTGTACATTTGAACCAAACTTTGGTCAATGTGATGTGGTCAAAAACACCCGATGAAAAGAAGGGAAGTTCAAGTGCAAATACATGGTTATTTACTTCTGTTCCTATTCAATCACCCAAGACACAGAATATATTCTGTGCCCAAGATGAGGAGCCCTAACCTGCCAACGGGCATGCTCTGGGTTACTATGTATACTTAGTCTTCCTTAACAAGATTAGGGAATTTATTGCCTGTAGCCTGCAAAACAGCTGCCTGATTGTCTTGTGTGGTTGTTTTTCATGGCTACATGACTTGTGGAGGAGGTTATATTAGCATGGTGCAACTGGTGTAAAATCTCGATAGCTGGTTGCTCAAATGATGGGAATGATAACACCGGTGACCCATCAGATGTCTGCAATAGGGCATGACCAGGCAAGGTTAGAAGACTGGAACACAGGCTAGGTATGGTGGGACGTTGGGTACTTCCTCGGGTAGAAGAATTTGCATCACAGATTACGTCATCAGTTAGTTATAGTGGTTAGTGTATAAGGGTTAGATTAGGCTTGGGGATAGGGATACCGTTATATCTGATGCCACAAACAACACAACTAGCCAATCACGTGATCAGTTCTCCTCTACCCGAGGAACTAGCCAGGATGTTGCCATTCTGCCTAGCATGGAAACTCGATAAAATTCATATTTTGAGTGGGATGTCTGCACACATCCTGTAGAAATACACATCCTTCTATGACTATGGCAATAAACAACCTTATCTAATTAGTATGCGATCCTGATTCATTAGTATGCATTCTTTGATCGTGAATTGTTTGGAAGCTTGGTAACCAAATTGCCACGAAAACAAAGATGGCGGCAAAAAAACCTGATAAATATTCTATTCTTCTGCCAACTTATAACGAAAAAGAGAACTTGCCTCTTATAGTTTGGTTGATAGTAAAATCTTTTGATGAAAGGTGGGTAGCAGTTCGTTTGAAATATCAAAAGCAGTTGAACAAATATCAAGTTGTTCTTGTTCAAATTTTGTAAAGTAAAGTAAGATTTTGTTTGGTATTAAATTGGTAGTGGTGAAGGACACGACTTCGAAATAATTATAATAGATGATGGTAGTCCGGACGGAACATTGGACGCTGCAAAACAATTACAAGAAATTTATGGTAGTGAAAAAATTGTAAGTTCCTTGTATTATTAGGGAAGAAATTGTGCCAGTTTATTGGGAGGTGACTCAAACTTTAATAATTCCATACTAAACTGGTAGTACTGTTGTCAGTTTTGTACCAGAATGCTATAAACTTTGTTAACTTGCCTAAATATGCATGTCTGGATACACTTGCTGTTATCAGAAACAATTTTTTGTCCTCCCAGAAGGCAGAAATTTCATCCTTGGGTGCAGGGTGGTTCTTTTCTGGAACAATGCAGTATGGGATGACATGTGGCACGCCCACATGTGGCATGAGGTGGGTGCACTGGCCCCCTTTGCACTTGCTTCCAGTATGGAATCAGCAGGCATTTAGTGCGGGCGGGAGCAGAGAGGTCCAGTGATGGATCCAGCAAAGTTTTTTGGGGGGGTGCTAACCAATGGCGAAACGAGCGCCGAAGGAGCGATATTTCTAGGGTGGTACTCCCCCGGAAAATGTTTAAAATTTGGGTCTCTGAAATGGCATTTCCAGCATTCTGAGAAAACATTCTGGAAAATTTTTAGATTCTCAAAACATTTAAAAATTCAGAATGTTTAATATTGGCTATTCCGCTATTGTCAACTAGTGATATGCAACTGAATTCCTTAACATAAATTGGTTAGAATTAGGATAAACGTCATTTTTGCACCCCCCCCCCCCCCC